TATATATATATATATATATATATATATATATATAAGCTTTATAAACCCTTCCCACACTTTTGCAACATTCTTTTGTTTTTTTAACAATGTTCTAAACTCTCTAAACGCACCCGGGACACAGAGCACAATGCTGTGGTTGTCGCCTTCCGTCACTCAGCCATTCGTGTGCCGTGTATGCAATCTTGCGTTGAAAACCTGTGAAACAGTGAGTCTGCGAAAGTCGAACCGCAAAGTACCGAGGGACTACTGTACTTGTAGCTTTACTGCCTGTGGTAGAATCTCACTGAGGTATCTATGCCTGTTGAAAAGGAGTTGGCAACTCAGAATTGCGTGTTTGCCACACTGCAACTAGTGAGTTTAGAAAATCATAGCCTTTTGTTGTGTGCACATCATGTAAAACAGTATCCTAAGCTGTGCACATTATCTCACTGACCATATTGGGCGGCTGTGGCTGAGTGGTTAGAGCAGTCGTCCTCCAATGCAAGAGTTGGGGGTTTGAATCCACCAGCAGTCACATGCCGAAGTGTCTCTGGGCAAGACACTGAACCCCACATCACCTCCGATGTGTGTCCCATTGGTGTATGAATGTGATAAAGCTCTGATTAGTCTCTTTAGAATGATTTGTTCAATGAGATTTGTAGAGATCTAGCAGAGTGCTGTATGAATGGGTAAATGAGGACACAGATTGTAGTGTAAAGTGCTTTGAGTGTCTTGATAAGATAGAAAGGTGCTATACATGTACAGTCCATTTACCTTTTACATTATACCAGCTTCCCACCTAACCTCAGCTAGCCTTTTGTTCTCCTTTTAGATTTAACAGTTTAATTAAATCTTCAACAAACTTGAGAAAAGTCATTCAACACCCAGCATTTACTCTGTATTTTCCTGGAAAATGCAACTTCTATCACAGCTGGTTCCTAAATCCCATTTTTTAAACTGAGCGGGAGTTGTAAGGCACATAAATGGAATGGACTGTACTTATATAACGCCTTTCTATTTATCAAGACACTCAAAGTTATTTACAATACGAGCTGTGTCCTCATTTATCCATTCATACAGCACTCTTTTAGATCTCCACAAAGCTAATTGAACAAATCGTTCTAAAGAGACTTATCAGTGCTTTATCACATTCATACACTGATGATATCACACTGGAGGCAAAGGTTCAATGTCTTGCCCAGGGACACTCCGGCATGTGACTGCTGGTAGATTTGAACCCCCAACTCTCGCATTGGAGGACTGCTCTAACCACTCAGCCACAGCCGCCCACATGGAACCTGGAAGACAAAACTTTAAGGCAGCTGAGTCACAAAACAAGCAGCCTTTGGAAGCTGTGACCACCACATATAAATACTTTTTTTTTTCTAATTGGAAGTTTTCTTTTAAATACACTCAGTAAATGCTTTTCGCTGCCAGTGTTTAGTGAAAGACACATTAACAGGCAGTGATGGTGTACGCTGACTCTCAGAGAACTGATGTTTGTTTAAGAGGACTGGCAGAGTCCCCCTGATGGTTTACAGCAACCCCTCTAAAATGAAACTTCAAACTATTTAACTATAAACTCAGTTTGGGTTTTTTTCCACTGAGAGATCCCTGCTGTGCCACTTAGCCCTCCAATAAATAAAAAAAAGAGTGCGGAGAGAAATTAAAGAGTTGTGACAAACACACGGTACCAACCAGTTTGGCTATGTAGTTGACAACCAGTGAGTCAATCTTCTTCTTCCCCAGTCGAGGCAGATGCTTGTTGAGATGCTCTCGAAGCTTGTCAACTGTCTGCAAGTGCGAAACACACATACTCGTTATTTTCTAGGCATGCCAGGGTGTGTGGGACTTGGAGTGAAACTTTGTGTTTGCGTGCGTCTTTGCATATTTTGGAGGCGAGGTCAAATAGAGTTCTCACACCGCATCTCCAAGTTCTAAAAGTTTCTACGAGAGGGAAAAAGACGAGGGGTTGAAGAGCGTAAGAAGGAAGGTGTTTGAAGGGAAATAGGCAGGCGTAGGAAACACAACGAGGGAAGAGTTAAGAAGATGTGAATAGAAGAAACGATGGAGGGAATAAAAAGGACAAAAACAGGAGGACCGGGTCATTCTAAGAATAGCTGAGACTTTATCTCCTCCGAACTCCATTAAACTGAAGCTCTCTGCTCTTTAACAACCGTGCTGAGTGCAGGGAAAAGTCCAAGATATGAAATGGTCCATCAGACAGTGTACAGCAGGGCACAGAAGCAGGACAGGGACTTTAAGACGCCCCTTTTTTTTAAACGTCGACTCTTCTGAGGCGTAACAGGAACTCTGCTTAAACCGTTGATGATGGAGGGAAATAATCAGCTGTCAGCATTTCACTGTGGATTTTCACCCGTCTATAAATGAACTCCTCGTAAAGGAAAACTCACCTGCAGCAGATTTTAACGTTGACACTCAGTTTACGTTAAACTGCTTTCCAATCTGCACCTTTCTCCGTGAGTAAGTGGAGGAAATAATAAATTTAAACTAACAAAAGCACCCTTCCAAAGCTCTTAACCTGTTCCTCTACAGCAATTATGCAGATTAATGTGTGAATGTTTAGGAAGCATTCACACTATTGTGATCCATTTTTCTTCCGTATATTTTTCAGCATCTTTCTCGTTCCACAATTTTTGTTCTATTTCAACTAATCATAAATCAAAATGTTCAGCTCTTTCAGGACAATCCTGCCATGACTTTTGGTATTGGTGCAACTTTAGCTTTCAGAAATATTTTGCCTTTTCTGCCACTTTTTGTCTCATAGAAAATGAACTGAGCTCATCTTACATTCTTCAAATCTTTTCACTAACTTTTACTGCTCCTTTCACATTTTGTTCTGCTTCAGCTTCTTTCAGCTTCCTTGTGCATGTTTAAATTTTTTGCAGCTACTTTCAGCTGTTTTTTCAGCTGTTTTGTGATCCTTTCAGCTTTTTTCTGTTAAATACAACATTTTTGTGCTTCTTCTAATGTCTTTCTGCTAATTTCAGCTTGTTATGCTCCTTTCAGCTCATTTCTGCACGTTTCATTTTTTTCTGCTATTTCAGCTACTATTGAGCTGTTTTATGCAAATTTTAGCATTTTCAGCTAATTCCACATTTTTGCACTAATTTCAACTCTTCTGCCTAATTCAGCAAAAACTTGCTATCTATTTCCTTCTGGTAATTTAAACTCCTTTCTGCCTTTTTAGCTACTTTTCAGCGGTTTTTTTGTTTGCTTGTTTTTTTTTTGTGCTAATTTCAGCTTCTTTTAGATAATTTCCACTTTTTTCTGCTCATTTCTGCTTATTACAGCCAAATTTGGCAAACATGCTCTTTATTCTTTCTTCAGCTAATTTAAGCTTGTTCTACATGTTCAACTACATTTTTAGCATTTTCTAGCTAATTTTAACTGTTTTCAGATAAATTCCAAGGTTTTTGTGGTAGTTTCTGCTACTTTCAGTCTAATTAACTTATTTCTGATAATTTCAGCTTGTTATACTCCATTCAGCTTGCATGTAATTATGATAGTTTCAGCCTTTTCTCCTATTTCAGCTACTATTTAGCTGTTTATGCTAATTTTATCTTTTTCAGTTAATTCCACATTTTTATCTCATTTCAGCGCTTTCCGCTTCCTTCTAGTAGTTTAAGCATCGTTCTGCCTTTCAACTAGTTTACAGCCTTTTTTGCTAATATTCAGCTTTTTTTTAGCTACTTTCCTAATTTTTGTGCTAATTTCTGCTTGTTTAAACCTATTTCAGCAAATATGTGTTCTTTCTGCTTTCTTATGCTAATTTAGGCTTATTCTTCCATTTGAGCTACATTTCAGCATGTTTTTAGCTAATTTCAGCTGTTTCTCAGCAAGTTCTTCTGCAATAAGCATTCGCACTGCATTTTCGCATGAAATGCAATTTCTTTAGTTTTCTTAAGGGTAGTATTTTATCGTTATACTAACATTATATAGCATGACACCCTGAAACTGATCTTTTGGAGGCGTGAATATATATATAGTTGATCATTTGGAATATTACTGATGATGTGTATACATGTTTAAAGTATAAAAACATATTTAAATAAAGGAAGGTTCTTGAAGGAATGCATGAGGCTTGCCATGCTTTCAACATTTTAAACAAAGGTCTCGTGATCCATAAGTGGTCTGATGGGAGTGACTCTCAGCTACTACCACACCAATATTTAGCTCAATGTCTATTAAACTGACTGAGTCTGAGAACATATTGTGGGGCCACGCCAAAATATGGCTTCACGTTTACAAGCGGTTAGCTCGACTGTTTAGTGAAAACCAGTGAGCTGAGTAATTTATACAGGTAAGATATTAACCAACATACATATCCACCAATTCCCATTTTAAACATTTTTTTAAAACTCTTTTTAAATCTTAAATTTCAGTGGCTGTTCATTACAAAAAAAATTATCAATAGATCACTGTACATTAAAATGTTGGGTCAAGCAAAATTAATTTATTTGACAATTGTTTGTATTTTAGTGCTCATACATATAGGGGACAAGAAAATTTAACACAGCAGCAGCGTAGGAATACACATTAAAATGCAACATATGCAAGTTTGAAAGTCTCAAGAGGAAAATAAGCTAATTATATTTGCTTATTTCAGCTGTTTCTGTCCTTGTTTGCTGTATTATTTAGGCGTTACTGCATACATGCGTTGTTCTTAGTGTCGTTTGTTTTCCAGATACCACTTTTGTTTGTGCCATCTGTATTTGTTGAGTCTGTTTACAGCAAACTCTCCCACCATGTGACTCTTTTCATGTCTTCTAAGCATACGGTCAGTTTGTTTGATTCCTCTCCAGAATAGTTTGAGGTTGATGTCAGAACTAGTAAAGTCGTGTTTCTGCACACAAAAAAAAGCATTTCCTGTGGCGCTGGAACTGTGCACCGTCTTCCTAAAATCTGTTTCCTTAACTTTGGAAGTGCTCTTCCAACCCCTAAATGTCACTGTGTGCACTGTAGCATTAAGGTTTATTTTAGTCGGTCCCTCACCTGTTTTTTTTTTGTTTTGTTTTTTTACCACTTTATATGTTTGTGGTGGTTCTCTCACCAGGCCTATGAGTTCTCTTTGAAGATGGTCTTCCTCCTGAAAAAGTGGCACCAGCTTCTTATCTGTACAAAGAGGGGAAGCACAAGCTCAGCTGAAGTGCACCACAATTAAACAAACCACTGATAGAAACTTACAAAGAGTGTCGACTTGATTGTGTTTTCATTTTTTTTTTTTAAGAAAAAAGGAACACATTCATTAATATATCCTTTTTGTGTGTATTTTTGCATCTCCCAGCCTTTAGGAGGCTGTGAGGCAGCAACCCTGCTGTGTGAGATTGACTGCGTCTGCTGTTCTGTCAGTCCCATGAAAGCGGACCGTGCTTCGGCTTAGTTAACTCCGGACTCACCAGCATACCCAAACTCACAGCAACTTTGATCATGCACGCAAGAAGCTGCTGTTTGATGTTTCCGTATGACATGCTACAGATGCTATAAATAGCTCTTTGAGGGCAAGGCTAACTTGCAGGAAAGTGTTGCCACATATGCAGCCTGCTCATCAGCATCTTGTGGTGGTACGAGCTACAGAACCTCACAGTTCTACGTTTTGTTGTGTGAATGTTTATGAAGCATTCACACTATTGTGATCCGTTTTTCTTCAGTATATTTTTCGGCATCTTTCTCGGTCCACAATTTTTGTGCTATTTCAACAAGTCATAAATCAAAAAGTTCAGCTCTTTCAGGGCAATCCTGATATGACTTTTGGTATTGGTGCAACTTTAGCTTTTTGAAATGTTTAGCCTTTTCCACCACTTTTTTTTTCCTCATATAAAATGAATTGAGCTCATTTTACATCCTTCATATCTTTAGATGTGTTCACAACCTTTGACAGCTCCTTTCACATGTTGTTCTGTTTCAGCTTCTTTCAGCTTCCTTGTGCAAATTTAAACATCTTTCAGCTACTTTTAGCTGTTTTTTCAGCTGTTTTGTGCTCCTTTCAGATTCTGCTAACTACAACATTTTTGTGCTTCTTCTAACGTCTTTCTACTAATTTCAGCTTATTATGCTCCTTTCAGCTTATTTTCATTTTCTTTTCTTTTTTTTCATTTACCCTTTATTTATACAGGTAGTCTCATTGAGTCACGAGAACTCATTTTCAAGAGAGACCTGTTTAGGGAGCAGATGGTGGGGGTTAAGGGCCTTGCTCAGGGGCCCAGTGTGGGGCAAATGAGGGTGGAGGCAGGTGTGGGTGTTTCACCTTTTCCACCCACATTTTGATGTTGACGGTACCGGGAGTTGAACCTGCGACTTTCCGATCACAGGCCCATCTTCTAACCTCTGCGCCACCACTCCCCCGCATGCTAGTTTCAGCTTTTTCTGCTATTTCAGCTACTATTTAGCTGTTTTATGTTAATTTTAGCTCTTTCCAGCTAATTTCACATTTTTTGCATTCATTTAAACTTTTGCAGCCTAATTCAGCAAAAGTGTGGTCTCTCCATTTCCTTCTGGTAATTTAATAATAATAATAATAATAATAATAATAATAATACTTTATTTATAAAGCCCTTTAAAACAACCACAGCTGCCACAAAGTGCTGTACATATAAAATCAAGAACATTTAAACACATAAAAACAGTTGTTAAAACATTAAAACATTTAGCTTCATTTAGCTTTAAGCTTCATTCTGCTTTTTTTAGCTACTTTTCAGCTGTTTTTTTTCTAATTTCAGCTTTTACAAAATAATTTCCATTTTTTGTGCTCATTTCTTCTTTCAACAAACCTTTCTTTCAGATTTCTTCTGTTAATTTAAGATTTTGCCTTTTCAACTACCTTTTTAGCATTCTAAGCTAATTTCAGCTGTTTTCAGATAAATTTATGTTTTTCCTGGTAATTCCTGCTACTTTCAGCCTAATTAACTTATTTTTGCTAATTTCACCTTTTTATGCTCCTTTCAGCTTTTTTCTGCTATTTCAGCTTTTTCTACTATTTCAGCTGCTATTTAGCCGTTTTGTGTTAGAGTTAGCTCTTTCAGCTAATTCCACATATTTTTAGCTCATGCATTTTTGCAGGAAATGCAATTTCTCTAGTTTATTTAGTCGATGTTAATCCATACATCAGGGATAAGCTGGGCTCATTTGTGTTGAAGGCAGTTTGGATTTTTCAAGTTAGTGCGCAAACATTACTGCTATTGTGTTTTTCATATATATATATATATATATATATATATATATCCAGCTTCTTTTAATCATCCAATAGCATCAATGTTTATAAGGTTCAATTCCCAACGCTGTCACTGATTTGTCAGTAAACCTAAATATTTCCACCAGATACTTTCTGTTTTTCTTTAACGTTGCGCAACATTATCCGTATTTAATCCTAATAATAAAACGCTGCTCGAATCAAAGTAAAATAAAAAGTATTTCTTGAAATTGCAAATATATTAGTTTAAATGTACGTTTTTATTTTATTTTATTGTTTTTATCTGTTTGTTGGAAACAAGGTTGTAGGGGATGGTGCCAGGATGTGAGTGTGTGTTTACTGGTGAATCTAGGGAGGATGGTGGAGGGATGAGATCATATCTGTGGATGATGTGAGATCAGGGAAGGTCCTGTGTGAAGGCTGACTGAAAACAGCTGCACTGCTGTCATGAAGAAACGAAAGAGCAGGGAAAGAAACGTGGAGAGGCGAGAGGGAAGTACCCAACTCCTCGCTGTTGTGTAATTATTGAGGTCTACTTGTTTCCATCTTTTTCTTACTATATATTCTTCTTTTCTCGCTGCCCTCCACCTCCCCTTTCACAACGTCTCCCTCCATGATGAATTAGTTTGGAGGTTTTGTTCCGTGAATCCTCCGGTGGGGGTGAAGAGCGCAGGCTCAAAGGAATACACCGAGCGCACTTGCACAAAGTTTGGTGCAATATTATGAGCTGACAATTTATTTTGAACATTCACTGTCCAGAGCTTTATATATTGGACCAAGTGTGTGTGTGGTGGTGGGGGTGGGGGGGTGCTTTGACTGTCTTACCAAGACACCAGGTGTCCACCATTGAAAGAACTCTAGAAAAAGAAAAACAGACAATAAATGACCAGCCAATTCCTTAAAGCGATAGTTAAGATTTTTTTTTTTTAATGGGCTTCTGGGGAAATCAAATAAACAATATCTTACCTGTTGTAGACAGATCCTAAAATTATCTCAGTTTGAAAAATCTAGTTTAATTTTGACCACGCTGACAAGCTAATGGCTAGTCCGAGTGGAAACAACTCCCATTTCAAAGTTTTTAGCCGTTCGTGCCGTGCTAAGAACATTTTTAAAAACCTACACGTTCAATTCACTTCAATTTCAGTTCAGTTTATTTATAAAGCGCCGAGTCACAACAGAAGTCGTCTCAGGGCACCGAACAGAAACATTCACATACATAAAAAATTCAGTTAAGAACATTATTTATCTGAGGAGCCAGCAGGTTGTGTGTTATACATGCATGACATCAGTACTGAATAACATAAAATCCTGTGAATGTTTGCAAATAACAGCAGCAACTAGCTATAGCACTTCCAGCAGGACTTTCACTTCTTTTGTTTTTGCCAGAATACTTTGTAATGCATAAACAACAAAAACTAGCATCCCCCCTCCCCCACCCCCCCAAAAAAAGTATATAATCTTCTGTATTGCATGCAAAAATTTTAAACTAAAATTTTGCATGATCATTTCACGCTTGGAGCACGTGATAAATATGACTCAACTATTACCACCCTCAATTTTATCTCAATACCTGAAAAAGCAAACGCCATTTTTGAGTTCAGCTTTGGCTGTCATTTTGAATTGAATTAAAGTTTATCAAAGGTTAAACTATTATTTTCTGTCTTGCCCTGCTCGGATTAACCGTTGTAGGGGTTCCTCATCAGTTCTGTCAGAATCAAACTCTACTCCACAAACTGAGTTTTTAAAAAAAAGACATTCTTTCCTTCTTTTTGTCCTTTTTTGTGTGGGCTGTCTAAGATGTTCAAAGTTGTTGGTTTGATTCCTTTCCCCATTTTACTGAATCAATTAACCAACGAAAAGAAAAACCAGGTTGCATTTTTAAAAACCAGAACAAAATGTTTAAAAAAAAAAATCAACCTTTGAAAACCAGCAGGTCTTGGAAGGTTTGTGATTTGAACCCCTCATAGAACAGAAGCATTTCATTTTTACAGACAAAGCAGAAGAGCAGTCATGCATCCACTCCCTCCAGGTTCAGGTCTGTACACAGTTCCTAACAAAGCTCCAGTGGGAGGCAGACCTACTTCTTTGTGTTCTCCTCCATGTGAGTCATTTGGCTGGAGGGTCTTCTCTCGGACCTCTGAAACAACAACACCGTGATGGGAGGGATGGAAACTACGCTGCCTGTGTTTGACAGTACCCACAGGTATTCTGACAAGGACATGCATAAAAATACATTCTCTCATCCTCTACTTCAACTTTGTCATTCTAGCATGAAAATGATTCCGAAGTGGTTTATGTACGTGAATGTAGAGGAAAGATCTAACTAAATAAAGTCAGGTCCTCTGGACAGATTCTTCTTGTTGAAACATTTCGTCTTTTATCCAAAAGACTTCTTCAGTCTGACGAACTGCACTAAACTCAGTCGTATAAATAACACCTTCTCGTAGTGGACAACCAGATTGCTGGTGACAGCCAAAACTAGCTGTTTGCATGATAAAGGAGGACCATCAGCCTAACGACTGATCGTTAGTGCCCTGATGGCCACTTGCTATTCGCAGAGGGCTGAGTGATATTGGCAATAACAGCATTGTAAGCCAGTTGGACGTGGAGGTCTCCACCCCTTATTTAATCATGGACGATTTCTCTTCACAAAGATGGCTTCATTCATTCCTCTCTCAAACCACTGTTTCTATCAAGAATGTGAACATTTTCATCCCTGAAAGAGTTATCTCTGGTGTGGAGATGAGTGTAGACCGCAGAGTCTTGGCCAGATGATGTTGCTCTTCTGTGCTGGTCCATCCTTTTGGCCAGTGGCTGTTTAGTTTCCCCGATGTAAGACTGATCACAGCCCTACTGACACTGAACAGCATACACAACATTACTCTGTTTGTGCCGGGGTACTGGATCTTTGGGATGGACCAGTTTTTGCAGTAATGTATTTTGGGGTTTGAAAACCAGTGGGACGTTATGTTTAGAAAATAAACATGTCAGTTTCTCTGAGACTTTTACAACGTATGGAATGACCACTGGTCTCTGGGTCTGGGTTCCTCCTTTGACCAAGTCTTTTGGATTAAAAACAAAACTTTTCAACAAGAAGAATCCATCCAGAGGACCTGACTTTATTTTGTTAGATTTTTCTACCTGGATTATTAATGCATCAGGGTAGACGAAAGTTGCTTTAACTCACCAGTTTGTCCCAGTCGGCTTGAATATGTGTAGTTCTGTATCTGGGGTTTGGAACAACGTCCAAATGTTTTGTTTTCTCTGTGTTCCACTGCAGTTCTGACCAAAAACATCGGGGACCCCTGGGCTGTACAGGGATTAAACAAAAAAAAAAACAAAGACCAAAGAATCGCCCACACAGCCAGGACAAAACGAGCAAGGACAGTAAATGTGTAAAACAAAAGTTTTATAAGGTAAATTTCAAGAATTTCTATTGATATTTATTTACAACATACAAATGGATTTTTGTAATTTTCAGTTAACTTAGTGTGTCATAAATACATTATGCTAAAAGTTATGAAAATGTATCCCTACCTTTGCTTTAAAGTCCGGCTGAATATGCAGCTCAGTGGTACAAATCACACCAGGGACCTCTAACAAATACTCTGGGACCTCCTGGAACACAAACACCAACCGAGCTGTGAGTGCATGCTCTAATTAAAGCCCGAAGAAAAGAACTTTGCAGCAGGTGCGTCCTCCTCTGCAATCGCTTCAGTCCACACAGAAAGATGCTCATTTATTCTCCATACCTGAATGCGTGCGCATGCATAAGTGCGGTACCTGCTTTGCAAATATCGAAGAGTAAGGCAGAACTTTATCCAAGCTGAGACACTTCTCGTGAACTATTCTGTACAAAGAGGCTGTGCAGGGGAGAAAGACGAGAGAACAGGCAGATACAGCACAAACAAAAGTTAGAATTGTTCTTTAAAAGTTTTTTAAATAACTACGTACACAGAAATTTTGTCTAGACATAAGCACAAAGGTAAGTGACACTATATAGGATAATCTATATTAACATCCATCCATCCATCCGTTATCTTCTACTTGTTCTGAAGTTGGGTCGCGGGGGCAGCAGCTTGAGCAGGGAGGCCCAGACATCTCTTTCCACAGCCACCTCTTCCAGCTCTTCTTGGAGGACCCCAAGGCGTTCCCAGACCAACCGAGAGACATAAACCCTATTCACACGGGATTAGTTTTATCTAGGGACCACATGCTATTTGTAATAACTACAGAGCTTGTCTGTGTTAATCCCGTGCTAATTGGCCATGTCAGTCATTTGTAAAGTAAAAATTCCCCCGCAAATTACCTACTATATTTTGCTGAACTCTGAGGTCCTGTGATAATACTAATCCAATGCCAATAGGCATATCTGTGATTTGGACAGAAATGGGCGGGATCCGATACGTAATTGGGTGATTTTTGGACATGTTGCTCGCTTTGGCTTTTGTAGATGCTGCTACTTCCTTCACCGCAAAAAACAGCATGTGCGGAGACGGAGATGCATGCGTGATCAACTGACCCATCCATCTTTCCATCCATCCATCCATCCATCCATCCATCCATTATATTTACCCGCTTTTTCCTTTTTGGGTAGTGGGAGTCGCTGGTGCCCATGTCCAGCCATCACTGTGCGAGAGGCAGGGGACACCCTAGACAGGTCGCAAGTCCATTTCAATCAGTGGGTCAGTGGACGCTCACGTGCGTGGCCGGTTACAGGTTGTCCATCTGAGCTTAACGTAGCCTTGTTTTACCTCTTAAACCGGCCGGTCGGACCTACCTCCTCCTCAACAAGTAGATTAACACAATTTTATATTGTGCATTATTTAGTTTTCTTTGTGCTAATTCAAAGGCAGAACAGTAGCACAACTGGTAGAGCTGCTGCCTCTCAGCGAGAAGGTTGCTGGTTCAAATCCCGGTCCGGGGGCCTTTCTGGGTAGAGGTTGCATGTTCTCTCCGTGCATGTGTGGGTTTTCTCCGGGTACTCCGGTTTCCTCCCACAGACTGAAAACATGCATGAACTCCAAAACATGCATAACTAAATTGTCCCTAGGTGTGAGTGAGAGAGTGAATGGTTGTTTGTCTCGTTTGTCTCTATGTGTGGTCCTGTGATGGACTTGCAACCTGTCCAGAATGTACCCCGCCCCACGCACAGTGATTGCTGGACATGAGCACCAGCGATCCCCGTGACCCAAAATGGAAGAAGAGGGTAAAAGATGGATGGATGAATGTATAGACGGATAGATGGATGTGCTGATTTGTAAAACCACATCAAAGCCTGAGACCGGCCCGGCCCGCACATGGACCGGCCCGGTCGTGACAACGCAGCGCGTTAACAACATATTCGGAAGATGTCTGTAAATTTCAGCTAAATCTCAGGCTTTGGTTATCCCGTGCGAATGCACCACATAAAAAGCAGACGTTGGGGAGTAATTTATTTATTACATATGGCCCCTAGGTAAAACTAATCCCATGTGAATAGGGCTATAATCTTTCCAGCGTGTCCTGGGTCTTCCCCGAGGTCTCCTCCCGGTTGGACATGATCGAAGCACCTCCCTAGGGAGGTGCCCATGGAGCATCAGATGCTTATCAGATGCCCAAACTATAATAACCATAATATATATTAACATGTCATTATTTAAAGCTGTCCAAGATCAAAGCTGACCTGGACCCCGCATGTAATCGTTGTAAACAAACTCCAGCTACACTCCTGCATGCATTCTGGACCTGTCCCAAACAGAAGACGTTTTGGCAATCTATTTTTGACACTTCTCTGAGATATGTGGCAAAACTGTTCACCCATCACCACTCATCTCATTGTTCAGGGTGATCCCTGTGGATATGTCCTTCAGCAAATACGAGAAGGACGTAGTTGCCTTTGGCTCTCTTCTGGCCAGGAGGCTCATTTTGTGCAATTGGAAGGACCCACACACCCCAGCCTATATACATTGGATAAGAGAGGTCAGGTACCATTTCCATCTGGAAAAAAATCAGATACACCCTGAAGAGTTCTGCAGGAAGATTCTGGGACACCTGTCAGCCTTTTCTGTCATTTGTTGAGAACATGTCTATGCCTGTATAGACTATTCATGTATGACTGATCCAGTGTGGAAGAGGATTTTGTTCTGTTTTGTTTTTTGTTTGTGTGTTGTTGTGTTCTAAAAAGCAAAAACTTAATAAAAAGACTTTGTTTAAAAAAAAAGTATTTAAGCACTAATAAATGCAAATATATTCAGACAAGTCTTATAATCAGCTGTAATCTATTCTCAGTGGGATGGTGTCTGTAGGTAGAATAAAATGCTTGCACAGAATGCAAGAAGAGTACATTAAGGCATACATATGTGCACCGGCTTGAACTTTACTATATTTGTTCTGTTTTGTACGAGTCTTCAACGTCTCCGCTAAAATAAACTCTTCTTGCTGCACAGATCTGCACATGACCACAGACTGAAACCATGGAAAAATAGCATCAAGACTCAAAAGTGAAGAATGGCGGTATTTAGGAGTTTAGCTGCCACTTACCTAAAATGAACTCCTGAATCTCATCAAAAGATTCAAAGGGGTTCACGTTGTCGCACAGCCATTCAATTATCTAGAAGGAAGGTGGAAACACACAGTGGGGTGGGTGTGTGTGGGGGGAAGCATAATTAAATGTATAATTTCTATAACTAATCCTCCACACTGAAGTAATCTTTTCTATCTGTGGAAAAAAAATCACTTTCTTGCAGAGAATTCGACACACTAAGTGACACATTATTGCTTATATTTTCACTGGAGGAATTTGTGAACACTTTCAAATTAAACTTCCTTAGATACAATCTTTGTAGGACATTTTAATGTAAACTAATCAAATAAATAAGCGTCTGTTTTCGAGTTCAGCACTATTGAAAAACTGCTTTGTAGGACCTAAAAGCTGTCTGGTTGGATAAACCCAGAATAAATAACACAGTGCAGTTAAGTTTCCTTTGAGTAGAAGTCTTCTTCACTTAAATATCACCTCAACAACATAAAACAGACCTCCCAACTGTGTTAATGTTACAAAAAGCAACACAGAAACCTTGTTTTCATCCACTGTCAATGCCACGTTCAGCTGGCTCAAAAACCTTTTCACTGTTTTTCTTTTTGAATACAGTAATCAAGTAGTTTGCCTAAACTTATTCATATACAGCACATCTGGAAAGTATTCACAGTACATCAGTTTTTCCACATTTTGTTATGTTACAGCCTTATTTTAAATTGTATTAAATTAATCTCTTTCCTCAATTCATTTATCGGCTTTATCGTTTCTTTATGTCTCTCTCTTTCTGAAGACACTGGATGACAAAAACTCAACTCCAGTGCTCTTCACTGACCCCTCCCTTTCTATTAAAAAAAAAAAAATCTATTTTAACCGTCCAAAATCGCACTTTTGGATCGTTAAAAGCAGCTAATCTAAGAGGCTAAGCTACGAGCTAAGCTAACAGGCTGACCTCGGGGGGGGGGAAAACCTTTGTCTTGTCGAAGCTCCAAAATTCACGGTTGAAACCCGTGCCTTCATGTAAAAAGTTTTTCTCTGCAAGAAGAAACTAACTTGTTTACTGATTTTCTTAATTAAAAGGTTTATGTGACAAATGCTATGTTAAAGAACTCAAACCACACTGAGCATCCGCCATTTTGAGAACCGAAGAGAGACGGCCCATGTCACGTCAAGGGGCCTCCCTCCCATTTTCCTTAAAGAGACACGCTACTCGCTCCCTCACTATCCATCTTTCAGTTCAAACAGTCTTATACTGCCATCCGGTGGTTGAAAAAAGGTACTATATGCAAAACAAATGAACATTTCCTCTTAAATTTGACAATAATTACTAATTATTGTCAAATTTCAAACAATATTATCGTTTAGCGCAATAATTTCTGAGACGATTAATCACACAGCAAAATTTGTTTTCATGACAGACCCAGCTGTGAATACTTTCCAGATGCACTGAAGTTCAACTTTCAATTTATTTAGTCACATTTTACACAGTGCCAGGCTTTTTGAGCTTTATCATTTGCTTCATTTTGAAATTGACTGAGCTGTTGTGGTCTCTGGTTGAAAAATATCTATAACCTTCCCCTAATTTTCTATCAAATTTATATTTTAACTACTTTGTAAAATACTTTGAATATTAGGCAACTACTCTTACACTCCTACTAGTTTCACACTCTCTTCATGTCAAAGGGTAATATTCCAGCAATTTCTGCTTCCAGTAAGATTATTTTAAATTATTTAGCTTCAGAGCGCTTCATCTGCATTACAGAAACATGAAACTATAATGATGCCCTTCAGGAAAGACCTTCGCCTTGTAAATCCACAAACACGGCGCCTCAGAGCTGCTTTAAACAAACGTGTTTTTTGCCGCAAGACAATTTTAGTTCAGAAATTTTTAATGTAACAACCAAACTGTGGAGTTAACGCCAAACAAGAAGTGGGAGACTTTAATTTGCATTTCCTTTAGGTTGCAAGCTCCTACGAATAAAGAAAAATTGTTAACAAGCAATCACTGTATTAAAGGCTTTACTTTGCTGCTGCAGACAACAAACAGTTCTGTCCCATTTTTCCTTCCTATATGTGCCCTAATGAAGCCAGTGACGTATATATAACCTTTGGAGAAATAATTTATTGCATCTATCTAGCTGCTGGAACTTTTTCTGTTGGACCTAATACTAATAAAGTCTTGGTATAAGTCAGCGCAAACCAAAAACCCAGACATTCATTTCTATCTTTAGCTCTTTCTTGTTCATCTTTTGCCATTTTATCGTGGCATTGGGTGGATTTTTCTGTTTTTCTTGCCTTAGTTTTACCAACTGCTGGCTTCCAACTCATTTACGCAGAAATGCAGAGTTGTTGCATCTTTCTAATGTTTATTCCTGATTGAACATTAATTTCCCTTCAGGATAAAGTACCTAACAGTAACCTGGGAGTGTGCTCTGGGTTATATGAAGCTCTCCGACAAGAATTTTCTGTTTTCTTTCTTCTTTATCCTGCCACCCCGTCAGAGTTCTCCCTACTTCAGGGAGGATGTATTGATCCAGTGTTTTGTTTCTCTTAATTCTAGGTTCCAGAATAAGAAATAGTTTGGAATGAAAATGCATTGTGCAAGTTTCATGGAAAACGGACTTTAAAGGTCTGCATGCTTCAGTTGTCTGTCTGCATCTGCACCTTCAGCTCCAGGATTGGGTCGCTTCCCATGTAAACCAGCAGGCAGTGGAGGGCGGCCAGGCGCTGCGGGTCGCTCTTAACGCTGGGACAGAGAAGAAAACAACACATTTACCTTTTATAAAAACAGCGTGGGGAGATAAACAGGTGGATAGCCAACAGCAAGGTGCTAGAATTTGATAAAAAACAATACATTTGCATAAATAAAACCCCAGTTTTGAACTGGTCTCACCTAGGTCGGGAGTCTGATCGCAAGATCTGCAGCAGGTACGCAGGGCTGAGCTTAGCCGTGTGAATCCTTCCACCCACCAGCAGACAACCACCAGACTGGTCCTCCGTGTGCAGCACAGTGAAGTTCACTGGCTCACACTGCAGGCCCAAGTTCACCTCATCGCCTTATTATTAGAACGTTCAGAAAAAAAAGTGTTTTCAAACTGGGTGGAAGTTAGCATCCCAGTAGCTTAAATGTGTGAGTTACCGGAGAGGAAGAGGGAGTGGCAGAGCATCTCCTGCTGCCTGGTGTTGATGCAGTGGAGGAAGTGACCCTGCAGATACACCAGGATGTAGTAACCTGCATGTTAAAGCAGCACAGCTTCCAGTCAGTGTCTGAACGCTTGAAGAGCGGCAGATATTACCGACTCCGCACTCACACTATTTATTTCCTGTTTATAATTTCCTCTGTAAGGATTTTCCAAACTACTTCTGCACACATTGTGCCATTTAAACCAAACCCTTTGGCTCGATCAAGAGTTGTGTGACTTTTATACTTTCATAGTTAATACATTTTATTTACATAAATTGTTCTCATTTCATATGTTTTAGTTTTTAGCTACAATTTGGCTACATTTAGCTTTTAAATACTACCTTAACAATAACATTTTGCTATGGATGGCTAATTGTTGCTTTTAGCTATAGCTTTACATTTAGTGGTTAGCTACTGTTTTGTCCATGTTAGGTTTTATTTATAGTTTGGCTTATTTTGCTTTCAGCTACTATTTTTGCCACATGTAACTTTTAGCTACAATTTTGCTATATTTAATTTTTAGCTACTGTTTTGCCGATTTTCACTTCTAGCACTTGCTTTGCTGATTTTAGCTTCTGGCTTTGGTTTTGTTATTTTATTGTTTAGTTGCAGTTTTGTTATTTTCAGCTTACAACTGTGGTTTTGTTCTTTTTAGCTTTTAGCTACTGTTTTGATGAATTTAGCTTGTAGCTACTGTGTCGCTTCTTTTATCTTTAACACTTCAGTCAACAATTTATTCAACAACCTCCATCGAAGTTATTCAGCATTACCTCACCGTACATACAGAAGGTGTGTGTGTGTGGGGGGGTCCTTGAAACAAAAATCATTTCTGTGTGCACTGACCTATAGGGATGAAGAACGGGTGGAAATGGGAGGATTTCTGTGATGACGATTCGCTGCCCAGAGAGACTCTGAACTTCTTGCTGCAATCTGGCAGGAAGTGAGAAACCGTTTGTCAAAATGTGATAAAATAAAAAAACAATTAGATGAAACTAGTGTTCCGTTATGGAATCATTGTGTTGCGACCTAGAAATACATGTTAATGTTTTTGCAAACATAGCTGCACAAAATAACGTGTATAGTTTGATTTTTAAAAATGCCCATGCACTAATAAATATATATATATATATATATATATATATATATATAT